ATAGGGGAGGCGATCAACTCAGATTACAGCTCTGATTTTTTGAATGCTGAAAAAATTTAACTAACTTCCTTCCAGTAATAAATTGTACAGATTTGGCTAAAGGTATCTGATTTTTTTATTTCTTAAAGCTGTGGGTTTTTTAATGGGATGTTCTAAAGCTGTGTTTTGTTAATGCTAGTGTTGTGTTTTGTCTCTTCAGATTTGGATTACCTAGTTCCAAAGGCTGGCTTTTTCTGTCAGATCTGCTCACTGTTCTATGCAGATGAAATGTCTGTGAAAAATCACTGCAAGACACCACTTCATCAACAGAACATGGAGGTAATGCTGAAGCTTCTCCAAACACATGGGTGAAAAGAATATAATTCTAAAAACATTTGCTTTAACGAGTGCTAATAATTTCCTAGTGTCATAGAGAGCTCATATTAATACTTCAAGGCATTTTAGTTTTAAACTCAGACACAGATACTGTTAAATCACTGACGTTCATCACCTACGTAAAGCCTTCCTTACCTAGGAAGGCACGGGGATAGCTGTTGTCTTCATTATTAAGAAAATATTTTTAAAAACTATGCAGTGCTGTGTCCGAAAGCATGGTTTTGTTAGATTTCCTGGCTTGCTGAAACTGCAGACTGGCTAAAATATCTTGCAGATACCAAATGACCAAAAGGTCAGTTTGGCAGCCAGAAAACTTAATTTTGGGGTCAAAACTCCTCCCGCTCCTCAACAGTGCATCTCAACGGTGCCCCCAGCTGGGGGAAGAGGCAGCCCCTTTCTCTGCTGATGTGAGAGGAGAAAACTTGGAAGATATTTATCGGTGTTAGCTGTTGTAAGGTGGGTGTAATGAACACACAGCACATGGTGAATATTGAATAACTATTTTGTAATTCATGACCAGACACAGGTGCCTGTCATCATGAGAAATTCTGACCTAACATTTTGCCAGATTCCATTCAGGAGCTTCACCACTTGGTGACTGTTCATGTGTCAGTTTGTGAACAAAACTTCCGAGTGCTTTTTGGCAGAGGTCACACAATACCAGTATCAGCAGTAGACTGACTTTTTGGCCAATACCTTTATGAAGTCTGAACTGTTTTTAGAGCATGATCTTGTTGCAGATTGAGGAATAACATAGCAATATCTTTTCACTGGCTACCCTTATTTCTGCAGAAATTCATGGCCAAGCAGAAGGATGCACATAACGATGGGGAAGAGCAGAGTTCAAGGTGATCAAAGGAAAGAAGATTTCTTTCAGTGAATTAAACTTAGGGTCCAGTCAATTTTGTGTATTTTGTTATGATTTAATTTGTAATTTTGTTTCAGAAACAAGCATTCATGTTGTATAAATTTGAGCTCAATATAGACAGACTAAAAAAAAAAAACCACAACACAAAGATGTATGGTGGCTTTGATTTGTATATCAAATCATCTGACTTGGAAAAGACTTTCTTTTACAAGTGTTGACATGAAATAAATGTTCTTACTGTATAGTTAACACTAGGGGATTGTGTTTGGTGTGATTTATTGTGTCTTGTTAACTCTGGATCACAATAGATTAATTCCAGGATCTCTGTCTGGTGCTGCTTTACAGAGCTCTCAGCAGGTGAAGTGTCACATGCTACACATGTTCCATACTGCCCCAAAGCAGTGGCCCTCAAGATTTCAGTGATCTTGTGAATTGATACGCTCCTTCTAGCCTTCTTTTTCCTGTGGCCTCTGAAGTCTCATGATAGTCTGAGGATGATAAAATCGAAGCCATCAGGGGGAGCAAAGCTTATTCCACCACTGCGTTAGCATTACTGTTGGTGCTGCAGTCAGTCAGGGAGGTCACTGTCCCTTGCTGTTTCTCCTTGGTGATTGAGTTTGCTTGTTTATTTTGGGTTGCTTTTCCTTAGTTTGTTCCAGCCTGTAGGTCAAAGCCTGTGGAGCACTCAGCAGAATGGCTGAACTTTGTAATCTGCTCTTGAATGTTGCTCACTGCTAAGTCTGGGTCTCTGGCTGGCATGCTCATAATGGTGGATCACCGTCTGGATCATGACTGATTTCACTTTGATCTTTTATTTTTCAGCTATCCACCTTACATTTATTTTAAATACTGGTATTTTTTTAAATCCACCATTGTCTCTGCACTCCTTCCATCTTGGGTAGTTGACTCTTCCTGAATTATGTTCCTGGAGGAGGCGTAAAGAGGTGTTTCTGTGTGTCCAAGGAAAATGAGAGACACTGGTTCTGACTGGTGGGTATATTACAAGTCCTACCTGTGCTGTAGCTGGTCCAACAACACGTGTGTCTTCATACCCCGGGTCAGTAAAGCACCAAAATAAACTGAACTTATGGTTTAGCAAAGGAAGCACCTGCCTGCAGCTGTTGTGAAATGTGTTCCTTGATGGGAGATGATCCCTTGAAGTCCCTCAGACTGCTAGTACATTGCTTCTTGAAGAGCAAGCGTATGCAGAAAGAGTTACTTGTATTTCATGTATTGAAACTGTTAATGATACTGATCCGGTAAATGTCTTTAAATACCTGTCCACCACCTGAAGTCCATGACATGTATATGCAGAGAAGACAAAGCCTGCTCAGAAGACTCCAAAAAGACGACTTTGCTCTGGGCTGTTCATGTAGGTGACACAGCAGTCCTGCTGTCTGAGAGGCAGGGTACAGAACTTCCTAAATTATTGTTGTTTGGGCTTTTCTGTGTATTTGTTTGTTTGTTTTGCCTGGGTCCCTCAGTAAAGAACAGTGCTGAGGGTGAATTTGCTGCCCGTGTGTGCTGGTGAGTCGTTGTGCTGGTCTGTCCTACCCCCTGTGAACAGATGAATGTCTCAAAAATGCGCAGGAGGGATTTAGACTGGCAAATACTTGGCAAGTCAGGGAGCATGATTCAGGGCAAGAATGTGTGTGAGTGTGTGAGTGCACATCTGCCTCCATCTCCTGGCTTTGCTGACTGCTGGCAGGAGCCATCCCCTTCTCCAGAGCAGTGAGCAGCAGAGTTGGGATCGGTGTGATTTCACTGCTCAGCGAGTCTCAGTTATCCAGTTACTCTTGGGTTGGTAGCAGCTCACATAGACGAGAATTTAAAAATCCTGCCTGAAATATTGGGGTACAAACTGGAATTCAGTGGGAAGGGCCTGCAGGGAGGGAGCCGAGCTGCTCTACGGCTGGGACAGTCCGGAGGCTCCGCAGGGAGCTGCCAGCAGCATCCTCTGCTCCCCAGCTGAGATCAGGAGCTTTGCAGCTTTTTTTCCCCCAGTCTCACCAGAGCGTGGGACGTGGCTTTCAATCCTTGTTAGTCCTGTCTCCTTTACAATGCAGCTTTATGTGTTTGTGTTTCTGAGTTTTCCCAGTCCCTCTGTGGGGTCAGGAAGACGATTTCTTGCCCTGGTTCCTCTTTGTTGCTTTATCTGTGCAGAGGATGAGAAAACAATGTTCTTCTTCATTCCTGCTTCTGCTGTGTGAGTTTCAGTTCAAATTTGCCCTTGCTGAGTGTACAGAGGGCTGAGGAAGAGATGAGCACCCCATGCCTTGGGTTCTGATGGTCTCTTTGGGTCCTCTGCCATGCCTGCTGGTGGATCGGGCTGCAATGTCCCACCTGCTCTGTGGGTGGGTGGACCAGACGTGTGGGGCCAGGGGTGGTGGAAGCAGCCTGAGCTCATCCTCCCGCTGCTCCCCTCTCCCTGCTCTGCCTCCCCTTCTGGCACACGCACCCCCCTGAATGCGTTGGGGGAAAACCACCCTTCCTCACCAACCTCTGACATAGTTTACCAGAGTTCTCTTTCCTTTAAAAGAAACAGCTTTTCCTAGAGACGCTGAGAAATTGCCTGAGTTGTGAGCAGTTCAGCAGTTTTAAAGGCTCCCCCAAGGGCAATGCATTGGCAGATAAAGAAAACTACTTCCTCAGCATGGGAAAGACATGGACCTGTTGGAGCGGGTCCAGAGGAGGGCCACGAAGATCATCAGAGGGCTGGAGCACCTCTCCTGTGAAGACAGGCTGAGAGAATTGGAGTAAAGCTTGGAGAAGAGAAGGCTCTTTTTATACTTCAAGGGGGCTTCTAATAAAGATGGGGACAAACTCTTTAGCAGGGCCTGTTGCGATAGGACAAGGGGTAAGGGGTTTAAGCTGAAAGAGGGTAGATTCAGACTAGATAGAAGGAAGAAATGTTTTACCATCAGGGTGGCGAGACACTGGCACAGGTTGCCCAGAGAGAGGTGGTAGATGCCCCATCCCTGGGAGCGTTCAAGGTCAGGTTGGATGGGGCTCTGAGCAACCTGATGTAGTTTATGGCCCTGCTAATTGCAGGGGGGTTGGACTAGTTGACCTTTAAAGGGTTGACCCAAAGAATTCTGTGATTGTGTGGAAACAATTTGCCTTTTAATGGGGTTGCTCTTGGCCCTGCCCTGAGCGGCCTCCCCAGGTACAGCCCATCCACAGGAGTTTGGGGTGGCTGTGTGTGACCAAGGTGATGCTCAGCCAGGGCGAGGATGGCAGCTCAGGGACTTCATCTTGTCTGAAGCCCTGATGGTTGCCTGCCTGCTCCCAAGCCCAGGGACCTGGTACTGCCTGAGGCTTCCCATGGCTGAGAAGATGGGATTCAACGTCGTCTCCCATCTGAGTGTGGCCCTGGAGGATCTTGACGTCCATGGACAGGGACTTGGTCAGTAAATCCTATTTGTGCTCCACATCCACTTCTCCTCTGCTGACGACTCCCTGAACTCCAGCTTGTGCCTGGCCCTTCCTTTGGAGACACCAGAAGATTGTGGATCAAACCAGGTAAGTGCTGCAGCAGCCCCAGGAAAAGAGGAAGGAGCTGTGGGGGCCACTTAACCAGTGAATTTCAGGAAAATAATGTCCTGTCCTCCCAGCGTGGTGTGGAAAAAATGAAATCTAGGAAAAACAAGGTAAGAAAACTCCCAAACCCCATTAGAGAACGAGCTGTTACTGGTTTTTTCAACATTGCTCCCCAGTATGTATGGTGCTGCACTTCAGTTCACCCTGCAATTAATGGTGTGGCAAATTGAGTTTATTTTAGAGCTGCCGGTAATTAAATTAGTCACATGCTGCGTGCCCTGTCCCCTTGGCACTCTGGCCACGTCTGGCTGCAGATGTGGTGGTTTCAGTAAAATCCACGGAGCTTTTGCAACAGCTTTTCCTCTGCCCTTGCAGGATTTTTTTTCCTCTCTGGTGTGTGGCTGAGCTTGACCTGAGCCATGGGAGGGGGAAGAGGGGTGCTGGGGGGGACCCTGTCCCCTCTGTGTTAATCTCACCCATAATTAGGTTTCACCCAAATGTGATCGTGGTGCTGCTTCTGGAGGGTTTCTGCTTTGATGGCCGATCCCCATCAGTTTTCAGTGCGGTGGGTCTGTGCCTGGCAGGAGGAGTTGGGGAATGGGTTTAGACGATGCCAAAGAGGGTAAATGGGGGGCAGCGGGGCAGCCCCGAGGGCACAGGGAGAAGAGAAGAGGGGTCCTGGCCTGGCTGGGAAGGAGGGACCTTGCTGAGCCTCTTGCTGGGAAACCCAGGGGTGAAAATAACCTCCCCAAAATAGCCGTGTGCCGTGGCTGTCCCCACCTGTCACCCTGCCGTTGGTCATGGCTCTGCCAAAATGAGAGACCTCCTCCCATCCCCCCCAGCTGGGGAAACTGAGGCAGGGAAGGAGGTTGCTCCTTCCTTCGGGGCCCAGGGGAGACCAGAGCATTGGGGTGGTCCCCACACACCCACCCGTGGAGCTCAGCATGGGGATGACCAGCGGGGACCCCCAAGGGCAGGGGTTTGCCTGGCTCTGGTGGGGGGACCCTGCCTTGTGCCGTGCCGGGGGGTACCATAGGCTTCACCTTGTGTATGGCTCAGCTCCCCGAGCCCCCTCTCCTCCCATCCTGGAGGTGATGTTGCCCCCCCAAGCCTGGCCCTGGTGTCACGGTGAGGGGCAGCACCCAGGGGCTTTCCGGCACCTTCCCCCTGCCGCAGCGCTGACCCCGGTGTAGGCCAAATCACACGTGGGGGCTTAGGAGGGGGCGGTTCTCCCTCCTGCAGCAGACCCCCCCCCGGGGGTGCAGAGCCCCCTTATGGGCCCCATTTGGGGTGACTGGACCCAGTACCCTTCCCCTGCGGGGTCCCCCATGGGGGGGGCTCACCTGCCCTTGCTGCAGGGGGGGGTGCCAGCCCCCAGCTCCTTCTCTCCACTTCCTGGTGCTTCGTCAGCCGCCTTCAAGCCGGGGGTAAGGTTGGGGGGGGACACAGAGGGGTGACCCCCACCCCTTGTGCTGCATCCAGCGGCGGCCGCAGCCCTTCTCCTTTAAGGGAGGCGG